CACACACACACACACACACACACACACACACACACACACACACACACACACAGTATATTTCCGTTGTTAATTCAAACAACATGCCTGCCTGCTGGTTGCATCTGTAATTGGCCCAAAGTTCACGTAATTTATGCTGAGTGATGTTATTTTGAATTTTTTTACTTACGGTACTTGAAAATCTGAGTTATTTTGAATTAAAAAGATGTTAGAATTAAATAAATAACACATAAACTGTAACTACTTGTTTTTTTGTTCATAAGTGAAGTGTTTTGGGAACTTAAAAAAAAAAAGAAAGAAAGAAAAACTACATGAACGCTATTATTTTGTGATTGGTCGAGGGCACGGAAGCAGTACTTGTGCCTCCCGCTGCAAAGTCTTTCAGCTTCCATGACACAATTCAAGGCTAAAAATAGATTCGCTTCTGAGCTCACGTATACATTATGGCAGCACAAAACGACCCCGAAGTGACCGAGGTTGTTTCCTGTAATGTCTTGTTTCACGAATCCGATCAATGATGTCCTTGATTGATTGCGCAAGTTATAACATTACACTCAACCAGCGATTTTGCATGAAATGCAAAATATTGATCATTTTCTTCCAGAAGCCAGGGTATTATGCCAGTGCCATATCTGATTACTGGCAGGGCGTCGGTGTTAATGGCCTGGATCTTATTCTGCTGCTCAACTGACGATTCAGGACCTGCCTCACCCTTTTTGGTATTTGACTGTGGCCACCCTTCAAGCTGCCTCCTCATGGTATCTATTTGCCTGTGGAATTCCAAAGTATGAAGGACAGCTACAAGTCCCTCACATCTGCTACTCTGCCTTCCGGGAGTTCAATCCCTTCGGCTGTGATTATCTTCCGTCGCCTCGATATCATTTGCCCCAACTTTGCATCCGAATGGCATTCCGATGTCATTGCTGTACAGTGATCCCTCGCTACTTCGCGATTCAGTAACATACATTTTTTTTAATGATTTCATGCCCTTTTTGTCATAACAACCCCTGCTTTATATCAAGGGACAAAAACAAAATATCTAATATTTAAAACAAATTCAAAGTGGAATAACTGTTGTATTGTATTCGGGCCTTTGATAGGTAAATCATTCATAACATCACTGATTTTAATGCATTTATATTTTGGCAGTGTTTTCAAAAAACACACTTCACCCTTAAGAGACCATAAATGGTCACCATTATGTAAGTGTTAAAATAATACGTTATTATGTTTTTTTTTTCCAGTAACCACCGACCTAGCTGTACATGTAAGGTTGCTCTTTTTTTAGTTTTCTTTTTTATGTTTTGATTCCTTTTTATCATAGCAACTGCAGATTTCATCAACAGATGAACACAAAATACGTAATATTAAAAAAAAATAATAAGTGGAATCATTGTGCTGATTATATTAGGCCAAGGGTCGGCAACCCGCAGCTCTGAATAGGGTCTTTGGTAGCTCAGAAAAATCAAAACATTGCTGATTTTAATGCATTTTTATTTTTGGAGTAATGGGAATTCATCCATCCATCCATTTTTCGATCCGCTTTATCCTCACAAGGGTCGCAGGCGCGCTGGAGCCTATCCCAGCTGTCATCGGGCAGTCGACGGGGGGACACCCTGAATTGTTTGCCACCCAATCGCAGGGCACACCTAGACAAACAACCATTCGCGCTCACACTCACACCCAGAGACAATTTAGAGTGTTTCATTAACCTGCCACGTATGTTTTTGGTACCCGGAGAAAACCGCTGCAGGCACAGGGAGAACATGCAAACAACTCACAGGAAGGCCAGAGCCGAATTGAACCCTGCACCTCTGCACTGTGATGCCGACGCGCTAACCAGTCGACCACCTAGCCGGCAATGGCAGTTTATTCAGAAAACTCACACTCAAGCTCTTGGGGATGCAAAATGGACCTGCTCATAAAAGTGTTGAAATATCAAACGTATTAACATGTTTTTCTTTTACATTGAAAACTTCTTATCTTTTCAATAACTTTAGACTATACTCTAAATGAACAAAGGTTTTATTATTTTGGTGAATTATAGTCACGATAAGTCTAATAACTCATAACCTTGATTTTGAAGCCATGAGATTTTATTTCCAAAAAAAGAGATAAATGGCTAGACGCAAAACATGCAGTGTTCTGGATCTAAATTAGTTGAGGATGAGGTCCGTACAGCCTTGAATAGGTCAAAAATTCACAAGACCGATTTAGATTTTATCGAAAACAAGAGTTTTAAGCACAAACACAAGCACGGTGTACCTACCGACCTACCCCAGTCGTAACTGAACACAAAAGATTGACCACCGAGCAACGATTCCACTGAGTTGATTTTTACAACTAAGCCACAGACCAGTGCCATGTGCATTTTGCATGGAAGTTATCCGCATTCGGTGCACCGGTTGTCAAGAAGACTTTTAGATGAGGTCGATAGCCTTGAATCAAAGACAAAGGAGAAATAACAAGTGAGACCGTTCAGCATATAAACGTTCAAATATTCATTCAACAAAACACTTTGAGTCAGTGTCGCCAGTCATAGTCATCACATATCACGTACTGACGGCACCTCGAACACTCTTCCCTTGAGCTCGTATCGCCCAAGTAATGCTTGGCCTTTTTAACGCAACACTGGTAGAGCGGCTCTCGTTCTACAAAGCCAAGTGACATCTGTTCGTAGTCGTCTGAATGTGATATGAAAATTTGGCTGTTGGCTTAAAATGCGCGCAGCGGCACTCGACTGCAAACTTCTGTTGCCGACTTGAAGCATGCATGTGAATAAAACTCATTGAGGCATAGTGATGTCCGGTGCCGAAATAGAAGAACCTTTCAACTGGACCACATTCGCACCGTTTGATGTGGCAGTGCTTTCGTAAACTAATGCACATCAACATTACTCACCTTCAAAAAGTGACAACCTACAAAGTGTGCAAAGTTTTCCGCTCGCACATTTCCACACACTAATTAGGTTTGGGGAACAGATTGCTACCAGAAACAACATATGAAGTATTTAAATCAGATGATGATTTGACATGTTTACGCCCACGTGCTGCATGGTTGAAGATTTATCACCACATTAGCTGTGTGCCACTCATATAAGCATAAGTATGAAAAGAAGAATGCAAATTCTTTTTTTCATATAAATAAAGTGTAGACATTGATTTTATCAGTTCAGTTTTTCCATTTCATTCTTAGAGATGTAAATGTTCATTTAATTTTAGAGATAATGTAGTAGGATGAGTGGGGGAACAAAAAATTATTATCACTCCACCATAACTTGTGACTGAGGACGATTTTATGACTTGCTCAAAATTTGGTGGCGACATGGCTTGACTTTCTTGATCCCCCACAATGTCTTGGGACTTGCTTGATTGCTGGTTAAAGTCAATGAGCAAGAAATATTAGCTTAGTTTTTTTTTTTTTTTTTATAGTTGTATGTTTTCATTACTTACTCTTTATTGTTTTATTGTTTGTTTTTTTAACCACACACTAGTTTAAAAAAGCTAAGTATGGTCTAACTTCATTTTGGGGCTGGAATGGATTAACTGCATTCCCATTCATTTCAATGGGAAACATTACCTCGATTAATGAACGTTTCAGGTTATAAACAGGCTCACAGAAGCCATTAAGTGTTTAACTTGAGGTTCCACTGTGTGTGTGTGTGTGTGTGTGTGTGTGTGTGTGTGTGTGTGTGTGTGTGTGTGTGTGTGTGTGTGTGTGTGTGTGTGTGTGCGCGCGCGCGCGCACACATACATACAGCAAACAAATGTGCAAAGAACCACGTAAGAAGACATGGATGTGTTTTGTTTCCCTTTCTTTTCGAAATGTGATGCCTGTTTGCTGACTGACTGTCTCTGAGCTCTTTTGACTCCTCTGTAGAACAGTATTTGCATCCCTTCTGTTTCTGTTGCAGAACGAGGGAAAGCCTTGCATCGAACACCTCGTCCATAGTGGAGAGTAATCGCCGGCAGAATTTGGCTCTGAGTCCCGGCCACCTCGGTATTACAAATAGCAACGGCCCCCCTTTCTCATTCCGCACCATCCCCGAACCAGCTGGCAGCCAACCGGAAAAACTCCAAAAGCCCAACGCCTGCCTTGCATCAATCACCAGCGTCTAGAGGCCGTGACCAAGGACAAGATGAAGTCCTGCCCTAAGGACTGTTAAACATGCAGACTGTCACATTGACTGAATCAGTGGAGCTGCCACAAGACCACTGTGGAACTATAGCTGTTAATACACACATCAACACATTCTTATCACAACAACAACAAATTAGACCACCATGAGACTGCTTCTCTTCTCTCATAAATACACACGCGTACATACAGTACACCATGCCAGTGGGCAGACTAACCATGTCATTTCATAGCCTTGTGTTTACACACCGCTGTTGTGTTCTTTCACTTACGTGAGTTCTACTTTGAGTGCGTGTGCGTGTGCGTGTGTGTGTGTGTGTGTGTGTGTGTATACACCAGTAATCTGGAATCTCAGGTCATATCATATAATTCCAGTCCAATTTCAGCTGCTCCATATCAGTGGAACTCTGTCCGATGGCGTGTTTACACACCAAAAGGTCCGAGGCTCTGCTAACTATCGCCACTGATGCAACACACAGCCACTGATCCAATTTTGGCGCACTTTGTCTCATCAGTTTGCTTGATTATTGTCATCAGTTATCAAAAATGCTGAGCCATACAGATGGTATGAGGTATTAAATCGTACCCAACAAGTTCCTTTGAGTTGAGGTGCACGGATTGAAATGTTTTCGGCTTGATCAACCATTACGCAGGAGTTCAACGTTAGAGTTAATCGTGCACTAGTCACACACGCGCATAAGTCTACGGCAGGGGTGCCCAACCTTTTTTAACCAAAGATCGACTTTTCAAACAACCAACCTGCTGCGATCGACCCGTTACCACACACGCGCGCATACTCAAGCACTTACACACGCATACCCTGATGAGAAATAGCCATAACGGCCCCTAAGATGAACGAAACAGAAAAATAAAGTAGACACAAAGGTTTGTGAATTTGTGAAAAGGAAATCACTGCCTACCTTCGTCGAGACCTGACGCGGAAGGCATGGGACGCACTTTTGCAGCGTGTTAACGATCATAGCTCACGTGTACCGTTTTAAAATTCTTCTCCCGGCCCTCCAGATTCCCATTCTTTGCCAGTACCCTCGGTGAATTGTACATGAAACAAACCCTGAATGAGAATGCTAATAACAATACAGTATAAGATATAGCGCAACAGCTCTGATCACGAGCTGCAATTCCAGACTGCTGACCGCTAACAACTTCTGGTGATGCAGGTCACACGCCACCGTGCCACTTTATTTTATTTATTAAAATATTTTTTGTTCAAGTGAGAGTGATAGGATGCTTAGGATGCAGTGTGCACTAAGACAAGAATATATCATATTAATAACACGCACACAGTCACACAAATGTCTTGGGTCGGGGTTTTTTTTTGCCTCACGATCGACTTTGGAACAGTCGGTGAGCGACCGGTAGATCGCATTCGACATATTGGGCACCCCTGGTCTACGGTATGTTCTAACCATGGAAAACTTTCAGTCGGTTCCCGTAGATTACCCTATTGACCAATGTGAGGGCATTTCTATTCAGAACATCAAAACAGTAAATTGCGGACATTAAAAGTAATTTCCAATGATAACTGTCGTTTGGTGAATAACAGTGAGGTTACTGTAGGTTGGAAGTTGCATAGCAAACCCACAACAAATGCATCGACAAATTCTCGCTTATGTTGTTGTGTTCAATTGAATTGGAACCTGAAATCAACCTGAACAAAAATGCCAGCTTTTAGTTACTCGTCATATTTTCCTTCATTTATGGATCCAAACTATGGACTTTTCTTTTCTGTTATGCATCAGGGCCACTGGATACTGCTGCCTCATTGTCTACCTAACCGACAAAAGCTCTCCAGTACTCTTTCTATAATATTTTGAAAAACAAGGAATGAAGGGAAATTTCCCAATATCAAACCATGTCGAGGCATTCTAACTGCTCAGTGGAGGATTAAACACACAATCTAAATGGCAAATCTGAAAACTGAAGCTATTCAGTTAAAAAAAAAAAACAACTTTGGCCATCACTTTTGCTGAATCATGAAAGATTTGTTGATGAATATTCCCATGATGATTCAACCTTGATAGAACACATCTAATGAGTCACCGATGTCTTAAGTATATTTGTAGAATGGCGGGAACAAATGAGATGGTTGGGATCAGACTTAAAATGATTGCAGAAGCATTCACTGGACCTGAATAATTTTGACTGTTTCAGAGTGATCAAGTAACCTGCTAAAAGTAGCTTGAAGTTGAAGACACGTCATGAAAGTATGAACACATTCAGAGTGTGAATATTTGAACGTCAAGTTAGGAGAATGAGATAGTATGGTCTGAAAAGTGTTGCTCGCAGAGAGCAGGGTTGTGAGGTTTTTTTTTTTTCTTTCAGATTTTTTTTTTCAATTACGGAATGAAACATTCATAAATATCCAGTTCATGACTAACTGAGTTTCAAATTTTGAAATTCCCGAGCCATGCTCACTCATGGTGCTAAAAATGCATTATGGTCGCCGACGGGCACACTGGTAATCATTTTCAGGAGTGACGATATAGTTGGAATATAGTCTTAAATGGCTGCCTACTAGTGATCATTTCACCTACGTACTAATGGCAATGGTTATGTATCCCATCTAAGAATTGTACTGGTTTCACGCAAGACTGAGCAGGAGGACACAGTGACTCGTTTGTGTCATCGTGTGTGCTAGATAGATTTTCAAGCCTGAGCTGACAGGAATCCTGGGGGAATCCTGTCGCACTATCGCTGCAGTCGTGGTCCTCATCCTTCTGCAGGCTCAGGAAGTTTGTCAGCCATCCTGATGTTGTCGTCCTACAGGCTCCTCTTCAACTACCTCCACAACAGCAAAAACACAGCCCGTCCTTTCCATGATCTCACTGTCATCAGCCTCTGGCCTGTGAATGTCTGCGCATACATCCGGGACACACTACACATCCAAGTGCTGGAGCCCTTGGCCTTTTATTTTCCCTTTGTTCGCCAAGTGTCATAGCGTAGCTGCTAATGAGCGAGCGAGGCAAGTGCAAAGACGCATGGAAAAAAAAAATCTCAGATTGGGGATATGCACATTGTAACAGCTCTCTCGAACACCACACAACTATCTTTAGCTTAAATGACCTTATGGTGTACAACAGCTTTATTATCTTCTCTGTACCAGAGTACTGACATTGGTGTTCTACTCATATGCTTAGCCTCCAATTAGATACTCCATCGAAAGAGGTTTCAATGGTGTTGGTCCCAATTTTACAAGGTAGTAATAAAGCCTCCACCAAACAATTCAGTTCAGTATGGTACAATACCCCAAACGTCAAACATATACGCGCAAGCTCGAGCTTGATCGGGTTTATTGATCCGTAAACTGATTTGGACTGCTTGGTGAAAATGTGGTCTTCAGACTCAAGAGCAGAAACACGTTGCTGTACTAAATTAGGTTTAAGGTTTCTCTTTTTCCAAACAATGGTCTTTTTTTTTTTTTTGTGAAGAGAAAATACTCTTACCTCGCTGACAGTTTTGGCTGTCACTTCAGCCTTCGTCTGAGCTGTCACTGTTTCCTTGTGACGCGCCTTAAAAACAGCTGACCGAGTCAGGAAACCTTCAAACTAAGGCTCCGCGACCCAGTCAAGGCTGTGCTCCAACCCCTTGCCGCCGTTGAAGCAATGTGTCCCGGGAGTGTGGGAGCATGTAAGCCCCTTCGTCTTTGTTGATGGTGCCATCTCCACAGCCCCTATTTTTAAGACACGTCACAAGGAAGCAGTGGCAGCACCGATGAAGGCTGAAGTGACAGCCGAAACTCTCAGCTAAACCTCATTTAACCAATAAGTACACAAGATGAACGTCATAGCAGTTTGCGGTACTTTCCACTTATTGGAGCACTGCTATGCAATTTCGTTCGAAACCAGTGTCTTCAATATTGCAAGAGTATAACGTACAATAGTTATTTGATCTGGAATCGCCTAAGGCAGTCTTCTCGAGGGCCCTGACCACGCCTTCAGTCCAGAACTGCGGTTGGGATCGAGCACCAAGCGCTTTCTACCCTGAGGGAACGTGTATCATCATCTGTAGCTGCAATGGCTCGGTTCCCCATTCTTTCAATTCAACACAGTCATACTCTTCGTACTAGTCTACCGTGATGATTTTGAGGGCTCACCTCTTCTGTAAAATTACAGTCAGCCTCTATTGTACCACTAGTCTTGGATCAACCACTGATTTCCCCATTGCAATGAGACATTTGATTCATATCCATATATCACATTTCAGGGGTCTAACGTTTAGCTTCACCTGTAAAATTGGGCTGTCATCTCTTGTACGGTGGAGGTCAAAGAGGTTCTGCACCACATGTCTGATATTTGCACTGCCCCGGCCCCAATTGTCCCCGCCACTGACTGGCCCACAGGCCTTCCATCGACTCTCTTGCCAGCCGCAGGTCATATGTAACCGTCCATCCCCGTCTCCACTGACAGTCCATGAAATGTCTTCCCTTCACATCAGCCGTGGGTTCTAAAAACAATAACATTGCTTCAAATGGTGACATACCTGTAAATGATGTTTATCTGTCATGCCTAGTCAACTAATTTAAACAATAAAAAAGAGGGATTTTTTAAAAATGTCTATAATATCTGGAAGTCCCTTTGATGTTAGTACTGGTGTTACCATTGTTGTAGTGTATGTGATACCCTATGGGGATTGTGTTACTTTTTAAGATAATAAAATAATGATGTTTGGTTACTCTGGTCTGGTGTTTTCATCCAGAGGATTTGAGGGAGAAACAGCAGTTTGGGAAAAAAAAAAAAGCACAGAGCCTCTGCATTACTGAAGCAGTGCAAGTCACATCTGCCCAAAATGTTTTACAGTGTTGAGGGCACCCACCCAATGTCGGTCGGTAGCTGTCTCCATTAAGGGGCGGAGCTACATGGTGGCCAGTGGTGGCTCTACACACCCTCATCCAGGGGAAAATTCTATGTGGGATTTTTCTGCCTGCCATTTTCACTTGGATGTCGTATTCTTAGACCTCTTGACACAAGATAATTTATATTGACTGTGTATTTAAAAAATACAGATTTGATCTGAATGCAGATACCAACACATTCTCTCTTAAGTCAACAACATTGGAGGCTGGCACTCAATATCATTCAAGATCAATACTTTCACACCATGGCAAGCAAACAACATGGCAGAGAAATAGTTGTTTGTCATACCATCCACAGTCATGAAATAAAATGCACACTTTTACCAATCTTGCACACACACTCATAATACAGGAGCAAACGGACGTAAAAAGCAATGTTTAGAACACGGAAGAATGTAGAGATTTTTGTGCCAGTAATAGCAGTGTGCAAAATGGCATTGGCCCGTCATTGGCAAATGAACACTCCGATCGGCTGTTAGCTAGCGAATCAGTGCATGAGATGAGTGCAAGGAGATGTTGAGCGAGTACACAAAAGCAAAGCAACGGCAAAGGAAATTATGGGCAGGAAAACATTGCTTTTAGATTTGGTCTTGCTTGATAATGAATGTGATGGGCATTGTTCTGGGTGTGTGTGAATTTTATTTCATGAAACTGGGTGGACGGTTTGATAAAGAATGACACACACACACACACACACACACGTGTCCAGAATGTTATGTTAAACATCCATTGAACAAAACAAGAACGCATGACTTCATTTCAAGCATACTATTTCCATAATATTTTTGTTTCCATCAGATGTCAGCGAAACAGGAGTACGTCAGTGACAGACTGAAAAGGTCATTCGGTACTTCCAAGGGTAACTATCATTCCGGTGATGGACGAAAACCCGCTTCTTAGTCTATCAGTTTTTAAAGTTTCCCGTCATTCGCCAGCAAAACGGACGTCCGTCAGTACTGACGGAATGACCCCTTTTGGAAATAGTGCCTCCTAGCGGCCCACTGGGAATTTAAGAGAAATGCCAGATGGCCCACTCTGGGCATAATGCTAATAATGATGAAAACCATTCGCTCTCACAATCACACGAAGGGACAACTTAGTGTTCTATTAACCTGCCGTGCATGTTTCGAAACGACCCACGCAGACACGGGGAGAACATGCAATTTCCACACACGAAGGCCAGAGCTGGAATCGAACCCTGCACCTGTGCACTCTGAGGAGGCCATACTAACCAGTTGATCACACAGTGCTGCCCAAAATATTGAAACAGGTAAATGTTTTTATTTTACATAAAGACACATTATATCCACTGCTGCGACCGTAAGTGCTTCAGTAAGTTAGCACAATACAGAAAATACAAAGCAATTAAAGTGTCAATTAACTTAAAATATACTCGTGGTTCAAAATAAAAATATTCAAACAAGAATCTTTCACCTTTGGAAATTGGACCGAAAACTGGCACAATACAAAATACACGCCAGCTGCAGTATCACTCAATGCTCAGAATGCAACACAAAAAGGCAGTACAGTATTCACTCAAAGATGCAGACTCGACTTGGAATTGGATAATGATATGCACTTTCACTATACTGTAGTAAACCACTAGATGACGCCCCAAGCTGCCTTCCTTGCCTTTTGGAAAGAACCGTCGCAGCACAAATGGAACATGACTTGCCCCATTTAATTGAACGAGACGGCTTCCAACTGGTCTGACGTCACTGTGAATCGAGTCTGGCCGCTGCAGTTCAATCTCTTATCTTCGTTGCGAGTTTTATTTTGGTGTAGCCTAACTTCCGGGCCCCCTGCCCGCTCACACGGTGAGCGGGGATGGGGCCCGCCGTCAAGAGCCTGCAGTGTTCCCATTCAGCGTGCTGTAGCTGAAGAGGAACGATGGCCTCCCCCGCTTTTGTCTCGGTGTCTCTGTTACTGCTGGTGGCAGCGGGGCAGCTTAGCTTCGCCGTCCATCCCTTACTCGTCTTCCTGATCGATGGTTTCCGCTACGACTACATGGACGACTTGAACTCACTCCCTGGCTTCAAGGAGCTTGTATCCAGAGGCGTGAAAGTGGACTACATGACGCCGGACTTCCCGAGTTTATCCTACCCGAACTACTACTCATTAATGACTGGTAATTCGCCTCAATCTCCGAATGAATGTGTCGCAAATGACAGATGTCCAGAGCGTGTGTGTCATTTGTACGAATGATGCTCAAATCAAAATCTTATATATATATATATATAAGATATATATTTTTTCTAGCTTACACACATCATCAAATAAAGTAAGGCAAATTATGAAATTGAAAAACTTGTCAAATCTCTTCTTTGAATAACACTGGTCAGCTGCATATTTTTATTCTAGATTGTTCTTAATGTATTTTGAAAATGTTTACTTTTTGTCAGCATATCATGTTTTTGAGATATTTTCTTTTGTTTTCTTTTTAAGGTTGACTTACAAAAGTTTGTGGAATGCATATTTTACCATGCGCTGTAATTTAGAGCTGTGACGTTTATGAAAAAAAAATCCACCTGTTGCTGAACATAACCTTTAATTCATGAATATTACCGAAGACTATATTACATATTATATTATTGTTATTATTAAAACATGATATGCTTGACAAAAAAAAAAATAAGGGCAGATTTTGAATACGAGCAAACATTTCCTCTATAAAAGTTTACTTACCAGTACATCTCTGATTTAAACATTTGGTAAAACGACGTAACATTAAGAGACCAAAATATAACTCTCGTACCTATTTGTGAGAGCTACTTGACATTCTGCCTCAAAATGTTTCTTTTCAAAAAATGTGATCTTCATTTTTTTTTTTCAAAAAGAAGTGGTTAAAGTGGTTTCATTTGTAAACCAGTAAAATCGCCTTGAAAGTATCTCTCTGTGTATCCCCCCCCACTCCCCTTCCCTCTCCACATTACACATGCCAAACTTCAGGCAACAGCTGGACAAGGCCTTAAAAGGATTTCATTTGTACACAACGTACGCTAATCGTTACGCATAGATGCTCTTTGGTTGAAAAGGCAAGCATCAGTAGGTACGATGCCTGTATACCCCCCCCCCCCCACACACACACGCCTTTTTTTTCTATGTGTTTAGAAAACGTCAGGCGAGTACCCACCCATTGTTTGATACTGACATTAAGTATGTGTTTAATTTTGCACCAAACAATGTCAGAAAATGCACAAACACCGTCAATACTCAATACCAATCAATTGCTAATACCAATCAAACGCTATTGGTCAGTGGAGACCTACAGGCTGCATCGGTGGAAGGGGAAAAGGAGTGGGGTATAATTCTCACAAAAACTCCAATTTTACTAAAACTATAGCTACCTTGGTTCAACAAGTCCAGACATTTACTTTGCAGCGAGGCCTGCTCCTTTTTGGCTCGTATTGGAAGCTGGCTGTGTTGTACAAGTCCCAGTGCTATTGTTCAGTTAATCGATGCAATAACTGATAGGATAATCGATTTGGAAAATATTCGATAGCGACCGGTTGACAGCTCTGCACACGTCCAAACACTAAAAGTGGATACAAAAGTAGATTATGTCCCTTTCGCTATCTACTGGATGAGCATTTCAGTTTCCCACCTGTCACTATATGTCAATGGCATCGATAAATCGACAAGGAAAGAAACATTTTTGCTGGGCCAATTAAGTGAATATGCTTGTGTGGGTTTTCTCCTCCTCGGCTTTTTACAACTTCCTCCCACATGCCACATCCCACATTTACTTGAAGACTCCAACTTGCCCGTAGTTCTCAATGCAAGTGTGACTGGTTGGTTGTCTATTTTTTTTTTGTGCCCTGCCATCGACTCCCAACCAGTCCAGGGTGAATCCCCAGCATTGACTTCGGAGCTCACAAATAAAGCAACTTATCGATGAGTTTTGAGTTGGACAGAAAAGACTGTTCCTTTAAAATGTTTCAGATGGGATGGACCATTTGTCAAACGAGGTGCACTGTTGTCCATCTCTTGACACATTTGTGTTTAATGATGCAGTGTTGTTTGCTCCATGTGGTGGTCGAGTATAATAATTGACACGCGCTCATTTACCATTACATTTATGGACGTTTTACAGTTACTGCTCTTTATCCTCATTGAACCAGACTTATCTTAATTGATCTTGCTTGCCCAGAATAAGACACATGTAAGGATGTGAGTATTAAAAAAAAAAAAAAAAATGTGACCGACCTTGGTGTATAACGTAGCCGTCACTCGGTGCTTTGAAGATGATCTGTTGATCATTAGAAAGGCAAAGTACCATCAACCCATTTGAAGTTTGACCTCTGCTTCTTTGAAATTGTAGTCAAAGAGAAGAGGGTTGTTGTTTCAGATGCAATGGCCGATGTCATTCTAGCGTCTCACGGTGGCTATAACGATTGTTGATTCATGGAAAAATGAGGCTCTTCAAATGACTTATACAGCATGAGCTATTGATTGCACTTTTTCAAATCAAAAATGTCTATTGTATCAACATAAGAATTTCATATGAACAGTTTTCAATATTTTCCACTTCAGGAATTTTGTCAGAACTTCTGTTGAGACAGATTGTGTAAAATATGAGGAATTTTTTCTGTCTTCGTTGTTTGCTTTTCAACATTTCTGGTGCTCATCAGCTCCTTGCGCTGTGTGAAAAGAATGTTTGTGTTTATATTCTTTTTTCACTGTGCATTCCAAGTCAAAGTTGTTTCTGACTGAGTAAAGCTCTTTTTTTTAACGCAGTCTCCAATAAAAATAAAATAGCAGCTCACCTTCTTAGGGACACCAATTCAACTGCCAAACAAACACGCGGGAGCAGCAGCATTTATGCATGTAGCAATTTTTCAAAAGAGTCTCACAATGGTGACGAACACTCATTTCAGTGACTTTGAGACAGGCCTCTTAAGATTATGTAGCCCAAATGACATTTGTTGTTAAGGTAGTGTCTGCCATCTTAAGGTATCCAAACTTAAAATGGGATTTCCCTTTGGACAGAGGCAATTGGAAAAACTGAGTACATTCAGTGTAGTTTCTGATCAATGCCAACCGGGAGACCTGCTGATGTATTTGAAAAGCAGCTCGTATTTGTTCAGCTAGACTCTTGACAAGAAATGATATCATTTGTCGGATAACGCTCTTCTGCTCCTTGTCAGCAATCATGCAGCATGCTGATGACGCAGTTATGACTGAACATACTGTCACTTCTCGGATTGTAACCACAATGCTGAAAGCCGCACAATCCTGCAGGACACTTGGCTGCACATTTCTGCAATGTCCTAGAATTAGCTACTTAGTTACCCCCCCCCCCTTTTTTTTTTAAATCAAGGCTGGTCTCATGGGCGTCATTAGGCCTATTTTAGGGAGGCTTCAGCCTCCCTAAAAATGTCTTTAGCCCCCCTAAATAATTTCATTGCATTAATTTAAAAAAAAGTATTATTTATTTTTCCTGTACTTTTGCTAATATATTACATCAAATTCAATGTAATGTGGCCATTTTAAATTATATTTCGATAACCTGCC